TGAATAAACACAAAATATACAAACAAATATAAAAATAAAAGAGAAAACAAGTCGCGCAAAATATGTACGTAAAATAATCATAACTGTTAAATTAATGCGTGCAAGCGGTTCAATAAAAAAAGTGAACCTCCAATGTTATGCAAAGTAAATACAAAAGAGACAAGAAATGACAGAGCGAAAATCGCTTTATATTTGACGAGAGGTTCAGTCGACTAAATTGAACCCCAAGTTCATACAAAGCGTGCAAATACAATCAAAGTCACGGTTCATATTTTCCGAACCTTAAACTCTTGGCGATTTGTAAAGAAATATCTTTCAAATTACAGTCAAATTGTTACAGCTATGTGTCCGCAAGTCGTTTTCATTAAATTTATTGCTTGAAGAGGATTCAGTATTGTATAATAATTTATCGAAGATATTGATATGATGTTTTATTTTATACCTAGTACTAATATTCATTGTTTTCTTTATTTTTACGTTAGAAGCCGGAAATCTGGTAACGCTATGAAACGAAATTAAAAAGTTCTAACTAAACTGTATGTCAATAATATTCTTTCTGGATATGTAAACTATTCTTATTGTTATTTTTGAGAAAAGAGTTGCAAGTAATAAATTTATGGCATCTGAAAAAAACCACTTTATAAACCGTTCCTGATGCCAATAATGGCATAAGAACATAATGGACTTCACTTAGAATTTATGTCTGTATATATATTATAATACAATATTATGTATGTAGTGTTGGGTTGATGTGTATAAAGACTTTAAAGGTATTTACTCTGTCTTGCAAAGTCATTGCAAGGTGCACGAAGTATACAGATTGCTCGAGCCTTTAATGAACAACAAGAAAATACGTGCACGAAATTTCTTGCAATTGCTTGCAATCTTGTATGTATGTATGCTTGCAACGAAACAAAAAAGAAAAACAACAGCTGTTTTATTTTAATATTGCAATTCGGCAACAGAGGTTTTCTCGCACCCTTGCAATTTTTAGCATTCTTGCATTTCGTGCACCTTGCAATGACTTTGCAAGACTGGGTGAATAAACCTACTGTTTACTGGCCAATACGTTTCTATTAATTAGGCTTGTGATGGAGTATTATATAGATCCGAGATGAATTATATTATATGTACCATCTAATCCATAAGTTTAAATAATATGATTTTATAAATAATTGTTCCAATGCAATCAAAGTTATTCTAGTCGAAAAACTTTTCGTCTTCAACAATAATAAAATTATTGGAGTTAATATACTTTATGTTGGGTTCATCTAAATAATTATAAGCGCAGTTTAACTTACAATTACAGCTGATAGTTTGATGAATCAATGTAATTAAGTATATAGAGAATTGGAAATGTTGATACATTAATTTGTTTCCGAAGATTATAGATGATAGCATATAATAACTTTACTGAACAGCACCTTTTTAGTGCACGTGTAATTGCATTTATTTAACTTTCTTAAGAGTCTGCATAACTCTTCTAACTCTGAAATTTATTTCCTGATGCTACAATTTAAAATGTTCGTTCCTTTACTTTTACTTGCACCACTTTTCCATTAAATCGCATTAGTCGACAAAGTGGACTGGAAAAATTTTAAACTAATGGCTCCGTTCCCCGTAGGTATGGTGAGTTTCGTACAAAAGGTTGCCAGGAAATAATGGGAAAATACAAAAATCTATAATAAATTTTTAACGCTTGAATACGAGCTAATAGACTTCGCAGAGCAAATCGTGCCAAATCAACTCATAAATTGTGGCAAGTGCATTCCGTATTAGGAAATGGTACAGGTATTTTTAAATTAAGTTGGACATTTTTCTTTATAATATTTTCAACAAAATTACGAACACAGTTATTTACAAAAGACTTTGCTTTATATTTGAAGCTTCGGAAGTTTATTCAAATGTAATTGATTTTTAATACCATTTAAAGGGTAAATGAAGTTTATTGAGTTGCTATAATGCAGCGGGAAAGCTACTTCAACGCACGACATAAAAACTTAAGAAGCATATTAAGATGAAGTCTTCTCGGAACAGTCTTTTCGGAAGAGCCTTTTCGAAATCGACTGTGATGCAGTGATGATTCAACTATTCAGTTGACATATAAAGTAAGAAATCGAAAGTAGAATTTCTTTCTTTTGAATAAAATTATTATTATTGTTAGGGGATGTAGCATTGCGACCGTCGGGTCTATTGTGCCCCCTTCTGGGCTTAGAGTAGGTCTTTAAGCCCTGTGGCATCAACAAAAAGTAGTATAGAATCTACTTTACAGAGTTTTATCGAATGTGCATTGGCGCAGGGCATTCTAACAGCACTTGTGTGGCCGACTCCTCATTCTCTTCACAGAATCTACAGTTTTGTAAGGTGGTGTTTTAGTCTACAGTGCCTTATTAGGATACTTGTGATGATTCTAAGTTTTTCTTTTGATAGGTTATAGGTACCAATAAGTGATTTGGATTGTTTCAATCCTGGTATATTATCCCAGTAGTCCTTTTTATTCTGGTTCTGCTTTATTTTTATGAAAGGAGCGTGCTATTTCCTAGTCCACAAAAAGGGTCCGGTTCCATCATCGGTGTGGCTTTGAATAAGATATTTTAGTAAAATTTTTTTATGTATATGAAATGAAATGCGAACACTAAATAAATATATAATTGACCTACAATTTTATATTAAGAAAAATAGGTATGTTTAATGTGATCATCTACTAGCAATTAGATTTGGTGAGAAATTGATCGGGAAGATCATATATATACTATCAAAATTTCATGATAATATTGCATCTAAACTGATAATATAAGAAAATAGCACATAAGGTTCAATTATTTCAAAGAAAGTACTAAATATAAATCCGAGAAAGTGGAATAAAGATGAAAAGTCAAGTTAAAAATTTTTCTTATTTTTCTTATAAAAAAAATAAAAAATTGTTTTTTAAGTTATATTTTGACGGCTAAATTCATCCAAATCAGAGATTATAAGAAAATTAAAATAGACTGCTATGACTGGTAAAAGATGAGGTTATAGGCACACGCTGTATTCTGTGCATTAATGACCACGATTGTCAAATGGAATAGACAGAGAATTGGACTTCTTTGAGATATAATAAGAGAAATCGATGGTATTTGAAATAGTTTTTTAAAAATAACTCAAATAAATATATATTATATATAATAAATATTGTTCATTGCCATTAGTAATGTAAACGAGCTTTGATAGAATTAAATATTACTCCACTACCTTAGAAAAGTTGAGTGTCATTAAAGAACGGGAATAAAGATTGTCGAATCGGGACTTCAATTTTAAAAACTATCTGCAAATACAAATACTTATATCTTTGTCATCAATAGATCACGTACATGTATAAAATAAATTTTATAATATTTATGATTACATTTATAATATTTATTTTATATAATATTTATATTAAAAATTGAACTGTTTATATATTGAATGAATTATTTATTTCTATCATTCTTTATATATATACTATAGAAAAAAAATATATATTTCAAATAATTATATTAATAAAATTTATTATGAGAAATTTCGTTAGTATTATTTGCTTTATATATTGTATATATATATGTATATATATTATATATATAAAACAAAGATGCCTAAATTATTTTTAGGAAAATATTACACCAATGGTATTTTGATACCACAGGCTGAAATTTTTTTATTCCCGTAGTTTATAACGCCACCGGGATTCTGATACCATAGCCTAGAAATATTTTGTAATATATATCTACCAGTAACTTATGATGACAGCAAGATTCTGATACCACAGGCCAGAAATCTTTTGTAATGTATAATATCTACCTGCAGCTTATGACAACACCGGTATTTTGATACCAAATGCTGAACTTCAATGGCTTGACACAATTTAATAATCTCTCTTCTTATTAATGCTCAAGGCTTTACCTTATAATTGAAATTCTGTAAATATGTTTTTCTCTATTTGTTGGTTTTGTACTTGTCTTTATTGGCAAGCTCGATAGCAATGAACCGGATTATGATTGACTATTATTTCAGCAACCAAACGATGAATCCGCCTTATTACATACGGTAGACATCATCTTGTGAAGTATACCTAATAGCACTTTTGTAATGATTTGTGATTCTTCTCTTGGTGGCGCAATAAAACTCACCTACTTTAAATTAAAATTTAAGTAACAACTGGCATTTCAGCTTCAATTAACTTGATGACTCTATTTGAACCACAAATAATGACTGTTTTGAATTGTTTGTTAATATAAAAATATTGGATATACCATATAATAGCCAACAACATCAACAGATGAACAATGTGAATCAAACATTTAGTGATCAATAATCATCGATTGACAATTAGACGATTATAGGAATTAGATGAAATTTGTAATAACATAACACGCGATGCTAATGTCTCAGAAGCAACTGTCCAATCAAGCGAATCACAGGCAAAACGTCAGCGAAGATCGAAAATATTACGCCAAAGTCGTGCAGAAATTGAGTTCGAGTACAAATTTCTGTGCGATTCTAGTGGTGTCATCTAGAAATTGAGTTAGAGTTCAAATTTCTGTACGATTCTAGTGGTGTAGTTCATTATGGTCACAATGTTGAGAAAAGTTATTGCAAAAGGTATGTTTAGTCTAATCACTCATCTTGATAACGCATTCGCAGAAAATGTGATCAAATGACATTTTTATTTCAGAACTTTTGCTTATTTTTTCCGAAATAAAACAATTGGAACTAATTTAAACATAATATTAGATGTATCACTTCAAAATCATTTTCGAATCACATTAGCCTGTATATTTTTGGATAAGTAAAACAACATTCCAAAATATATTATAAAAAAAATTTATATAAAAAACTGTTTCACAATCAGGATATATTTGTTAATCATTGTCAAAGAATGTGCAAGGAACTTTATGTTTATCAATAATCAGACTTCAGTTTTTCAATTCTTTAAACAACTACAAGTGATTAATTGCAGATTTGTTTGATTTTGATTAAAAATGTCAATTGTAAGCAATACTCGTAAACGTCAAAAAGCTCCCCCAATAAAGTCCATCACACCTGAAAAGATATTACAGAGGTATTTAGAAGAACGTTCTAACAATGAAGACGATGATTCAGTTATATCGAGGGATAGTGAAGGTGATGTTTCCACACCTCAAAAAATTGGACACAAACTTCGTTTTGATGATCGACAACTTCTTGACATGAAGGAAACATTTGATTTACTTGATTCAAATTGTACTGGTATTCTGCGTGATAATCATCTCAGAGTCGCTGTTCGTGCTTTGGGATTTGAACCAAGGAAAGACGATATTAAGGCAATGATTGCTAAAATCAACGAGGACAACACTGAACGTATATCATTCAATGATTTTGTTAAGTTGATGGAAATGAAAATTGGTGAAAAAGATACCGAGATGGATTTGCGCAAGTCATTTCGTTTATTTTGTGGTGTTGGAAAAAATAGTCTCACTCTAGATGACTTGAAGCTTGTTAGCAGACAACTGGGGGAGAACTTAAATGATGAAGAACTGGCTGAAATGTTTGAATACGCTGATCTAAACAAAGATGGTAAAGTTAATGAAGATGACTACATACGATTAGTACTGAATACGGTTTTGTATGACCAATAACGATGTGGAGTCTGACATGATTTATTTTTGTTTGTAGCAAATCTTTTAATTGATGTTTTAAAATAAATGTTTCACTGATCTTAGTTCAATTAGAGTTATCGGAAGTTAAGTTAATAAAAATCATGCATATTACCTAGAAAAGTAATAAGTGAGTACACTTGGCTTACATACTGATATGTAAATATATTATTAATTATTATTAATCAGGTTTTGTTATACTAAGAATGATTATAATGTCTTATAGTGATTGTAAATCAACCAAATATAATTCTGACTAAATCACTATTGCACACAAAATAGTTTTTGCTGTGAGTAGGTAACCGAAAGATTGAGTCCTCTTAATATATTGCAGTGCATCACTTTGTCTTGCAGACGCATTTCACCAAAATTTTGGATTGAAGGGTTCTATTGTGATGCAAAATTTCATAATTTCATAATTATTGAATAATTATACTTCTGTAAAATTTAATCTTTGAAATTAGTGGATTTGTGTGTTTTTTACATAAAATCAATTTAATAACGAATTTAAAATAGCATTATTTTTAAAATATATACCATAATTGCTATGAATATCATTTACATTAAAAAGTAATGACCCCGAAATATTCTTCGGATGAAATAATAAAAAATCCAATCCTTTACTGTTGTATTCTGATCTTTCAATCTATGTATATACTAATGCTATTCCTGTGGTATCACAATGGGTCATTATTTGAGCTTAATTGAGCTTTTTTGAAAATAAGGCCGCCACTCTCCAACCTACCTACCTCATTCTTTACTGATCTTTAAATTGTTGTATAATTTGAAGTAGTAATTTCACTGAAAAATAAATGATAAATTTTTAACATATGCTTAAAAACCATTAAAAATGAGTTGTTTTGTTAGTAAGAATTGTTCGTTGATATGAAAACATTGCAAATGTAGAGTAAACCGCGATAAATTTTATTCAAATTGCAAATTCTATCAAAATATTTAATTAGAGAACTACACAGAAAATTGCATCAGCGTTAAATCCATTTGACTTCATCGCGGTACTTGCATTGCGGATGAAATATTTGGCTTTAGGTGAGTGTTACTCGCCGGTGCGCAGTTTCTAAATTTAATTAACCAAAATAACAATTGAAATTCCCTTTTGGATATTTCGGATATTAATTAGAATATATAATTGTACATGTGTAATATTTCCCACAACTCCCACAGTTCACCACGAGTTGCGAATTGGAGGTGATTAGCTTGACACAAGAAATCATGGAATATTTGACAAGAAGAAAATATCCGAACCGTCGGTTAAGTTTTGTGGTTTCATTTGGGATTGGTTGGAGTTACTGCATGACTTGTCAAAGCGAAAGGTGGATTGACTAATACTAAATTTGCATAAATTAAATCCACATTAATATTATTGATATTTGTTTTTTTATTAAATAATCAATTTTTGTTTTATTTATGCTGATTAAGATTTATGTGAATAATTAAAAGATATATAAAAATTTAAAAGTAATTAATATTCGATTCACAACATCTTCATAATAGTTGCATAATTATGTGACCGTCATAATTTACATTAAGACTGAAAAGTTTTCGGAAATTCTCATTTAAAATTCGCGCGCTGTATATTTTTCGATATTTTAAGTTTATGTAGTTTGGCAGCACTGTCCTTAATTACTATGCCAAAAATGAGCTCGATCTGTCAGACAGTTCGTTTACGGCAGCTGTTGAAACCAGTTCACCTCAGTAGTGCGTTGCGAAATGTCTTCGACGGTCGTACGACCGTCCTGGAAGGCTTTGTACCACTCATAAACTTGAGTTTTCGATAAAACTGATTCCCCATAAGCCTTTTGTAGCATTCGCAACGATTCTGCACACGAAATTTCGTTCGAAACACAAAATTTGATGCAAACTCTTTGTTCAATATTTTTTTCCATTGTTTTTTTCGCAACGCCCTACTGAGGTGAACTGGTTTCAACAGCTGCCGTAAACGAACTGTCTGACAGATCGCGCTCATTTTTGGCATAGTAATTAAGTTAATTGCTGCCAAACTACATAAACTTAAAATATCGAAAAATATACAGCGCGCGAATTTTAAATGAGAATTTCCGAAAACTTTTCGGTCTTAATGTATAAATCGCACTGCATTATATTTAAGAGTTTTTGTTTTATTGTCAGGAAACGTAACCGTTATCATTAAAAAATAAATTCACCTTATAAATGTTACGAGAGTCACTATTTATATTTACTTGTCGTTGAAAATTGCTTTATTCGAAGTATTCTTTTGCATGCGTTCGAACCATTTGTAGAAGCATTTTTTGCAATCTTCTTCAGACACCTCCAAATTATGGTTTTCATATTCAACAACGGCTTGTTCCGCCGACAAAAATCTTTGTCCAGGCAATTTGCGAGTATTCCTGACATTCGGGAACAAGAAAAAGTCATTAGGTGCCAAATCAGGACTGTACGGTGAATGACCCATCAATTCGATTTTTTGAATGTTCAAATAGTCGGTTTTTAGACAAGATGTGTGAGCACTCGAATTGTCTTAATGGAGATTGATCCGACGGCGTTTGTTTGTTCAGAATTGACCGTTATGCGTTGAATTTAGTTCACCTTGAAACACCCACACAGTCGACTTCTGCTTACGTTCTGGCTCATACTCATATATCCATGATTCGTCACCTGTTACAATCTTATACACATCTTTTGAAAGACCAGCATTGTACTTCTTGAGAACTAGTGCATTTGTGTGCACCAATCGACACGAGCCTCTTTTTCATACCTAAGATTTTTTCAATTGCAAAATATGTTACATAATGATCTTGCATTACTTGTAATAGTTTTTGCACAGAATTATTGTTTTCCGATTTTGGATTCACAAATGTCGTCAGTGAACGAACCGCAGCCACAATAAAAATCATTGTACCAGCGTTTGACAACGGCAAAGGATGGAGCTTCATCGCCAATTTTGGAGGTAAGATCATTGATGTACACTTGTTTTAATAATTCACGTCGAAAGTCGTAATACATCATCACAAGTTGCAAATTGCGTTGACAACGATTTTTGTCAGCAAAAGAAGCCGTTGTTGCATTTAAAAACCATGTTTTGGAGGTGTCTGAAGAATATTGGAAAAATTCTTTGACTAATGGTTCGAATGAATGCAAAAGTGTATTAATCATAAAGGAGAATACTTCGAGAAACAATAAAGCAATTTTCAACGACAAGTTAGTATTTTTCCATTATTAGACTCAAAATATAAATAGTGATTCTCGTAAGCATTAAATAAATGTAGATTGATTTGTCGGAGTTTGGCAAATTTTTGATATATCTGATGTGAAATATTTGTAACATTTATATGCTATGAGCATGTTGTGAATTGTCTAAATATTTCAATTTTTTGATATCTTGAATTTTGATTTTTATTGCTGACTTTTCGATGTTTTTATGCACTCAAGGTGAGTCGTTTTAATATGTCGTAATTGGTGTTCCTATAATACTTCATTTATATAAATAAATAATCTTAAATCAGTGAATCCGCAATCAATTTTTTATTTGAAAAAAAAAAGTTTTCCGCTCTAAGTAAATAAAAAAAATAGCATCAAATAAAATATGCTTCTACAGTTATGACTATGTATTCGATGTTTGATGCATAAAAAAAAATAAATTTAAATATTTTACACATCTATGAACATAAAACTCAAATGTTTTGCATTGCTTTATACAGTACAATAGATGAAATATTAATTCTGTATTGCAAAATATTTTCAGACCTCTGAATTCCATTGTGATACAAGGTAAGGGACAAAAATGCATTCAAATGCATTTTTTTATTTATATAAAAAATATATTTTTTTATTTATATATATTTATATATTTTAGTACAACATATTTTAAAATTACAATAGTCGACAATATTTTGACAAATGATCAGTCTTCTTATTTTTTTTCAGGGTTCGTATTTGCTCACTCATGAGCAGCTCAGGCTCATGAGCAAGAGCCAATTCTTCCGTGAGCCCAAAATTGACTCATGAGCGTGAGCCCAAAATTGGCTCATATTGAAGAGCTGATCACCAGCGTGAGCCTTCAAGTTGCTCATATTGAAGAGCTGCTCATGAGGTCTCACGAACCGAGAGTTCACGAGCTCAACTGTTTATAAAAAGCGATTTATTAGTTTATTTGCTTTATTTATTTTTATAAACGTTATATGTAAAAATATATAATTTTATATTAAAACAATATAATGAAACAATAATTTGAATTTGAAAACAAATTTATAAAATATTATAATTTTCCACAAATAAACAATAAAAATATATTTATTGTTTATTTTAGGAACTTTGATTATTTCCATATTTTAGTTAGTTCAAGGTTATTAATATTTTTAATCTTTTTTGATGACATGTTTTCACAAAACAAAAATAATAAAATCTTAAATTGGGCGCATGAGATCTCATGAGCCGCAGCTCATAATCTTGCTCACGAGCGTGAGCCCATTTATAACTTACTGGCGGCTCTTGCTCGAGAGCGTGAGCTCTGTAGTTGGGCTCGCTCGTGAGCGTGAGCTCATATGGGCTCGTATGAAAAGACTTTTTTGCCGGCTCATGAGCCGTGAGCAGAATGAGCCGAAATGAGCCGCTCATGTGTACGCAAATACGTACTCTGTTTTTTTTCTTGGTATTACCTTTTACTATTTATTAAAAAAAAATTGGTTTAAAAATATATATGATACAACAGAACTTCATCAGGGTTAGTAGCAAAGTTTCCCGATAGGCGCGAAGTTGCAAAAATCTCAACTCCTTTAATCGAGTGAAGACAAAAGGACTATGTGGTAAGAAATTATAAGAAATAAGAGAAGAAAAATGAAGACACAAGGCAAAACTCTACGACATGTAGTATTAATCTGGGGATAATAGGAAGAAGAAGTACATAATGATATTTTATGAGATTATTGGTAGTATTAAAGTTATTTTTTTTATCTTAGAATAAGTATAAATGTACTTAAATAAGATTG